CTATAGCAAAATAAATATTTATTATACTAAAACTAAAGTAGATTAAAATTATAATAATTAAAATTATTTTTTAAATTTATATAACTTCTTAAATATTCATTTTAAATATTAATTATCTTATATTAATTTGTAACTCATATTACGATTTACAACTTTACTTAGAACATCAACTAACAATTACTTGAACTCGAACTGAACTTTTGGTTAGGTTCAAGTCAAGTTCAAAATTTGAACCAAACTTGAACCAAACTTTTAATTAGATTTGAATTTTTGAATCAGACTTTTTATCAGATTTGAGTCTGGTTCAAACTTGAACTGAACCAGACTCAAATTGAACCAGACTTTTTTTTGGAATCCTATTGTAAAGTTATACTTCTTATAATATTTGTAATTAATCATTTATCTACATTATGAAATTATTAATGTATAATTAAATTAATAAAAAAAATTATATTTTATTTGTTTATAAATTAACTTTTAAAAAATATAATTATCTTTGAATATTTCTAATCTCATTCTAATTGATCAACAAATAATTATATATTATTTATCTTTGAATATTTGTATTTTCTCTCTTATTTAAAGTTATATTTCATAAACTTTTTTACTTGATTTAATATCACATATTATTTATATGTTCTTCTATAACAAAATTCAAAATTATATAAAATAATAATAATATATATATATCAATTTATAATAATTTAATTTGAATAAAAATAATATTGTTCAATTTGTTTAGTCAAAACAAAATTAAATAATATTATTTTTGTTTAAATTAGATTATTAAAAATCAAGAAAACATATTCTAAATTAATTAATTAATTTTTGTTAACTTTAAAAAAATAAATCTTTTACCTTAAAATATAATATTTTAATAACTAGTAATTTAATTTGAACAAAATATTATTATTTAATTTATTTTGACTAAATTATATATTTGTTTAAATTAGATCACTAAGTATTAAGAACTAAATTATTAAATATAAAATATGTATTATAAAATAATTAATTATATATAATTATAATAATTAAAATATTAATAATAATAATCAATAGTTATTTATTATAATTTTAATATTATTTTAAATTGAATATTTTTATTATTATATAAATTTATAAATTATATTTTGTATTTTAATATTTAGTAAATCTATTATTATAATAATTCTGAAGTAAATATGTTATAATTCTTGTGATTTATTTATATAATTCTAAAATGAATATATTATAATTCTTGTAATTTATTTATAAACAGATTCCATATAATAGCATGTAAATTCTTAATTAATATATTATTCAATAAAAAAAATCATTAAAATAATAATATTTTTAACTAATATTTTAAAAGATAAAGAGGTAAAGCTTGATCTTAAATAATACAAAATTAAACATTTTGATTGAATAAAAGATTTCATCTGGAAATGAAAAAAAAGATATTTTTATTGAAATAATATTAGCTAATATATATTAACATTTTTACTTTGTATAAAAATTTTTTAAAATAATATTAGTCATAACAATGATAACTAAATAATAAAAAGTAAATAACATGAAATTTAATTTCAATTAGTACAATAAAAAACTAATTTGTTGGAATTAAAGTGTTTAATAAGAACAAAATTTCATTTTTGCCATTTTACTAAGGAACATAAGTGTAACTATGCTTTATGCATTTAATTAATACATTACAAGTGACACATTCTATGATCGCTCATATTTATATTAATCGATTCCATTAATTTATTCATTTACTTGCTGTATCTTTTCTATGAAACAAGTCACCACCACTCTTCAAAAACTCCTTAATATGACCTTTAATCCCCTCAATAATTTCTTCAGCAGTTGCTTGTTTCCCATAAACAGCCACAAACTCGCCATTCGGATCCATTAAGTAAAAGAAAATCGAGTGATCGACTAAATAGTCTTCGCCTTCTTTGACTTGTGGCGGACGACTGAAATAGACACGGTATGATTTCGCAACTTTTGCTACTTGGTCATAGGTGCCTGTTAGTCCGATGAAGTCTTGGTGGAAATCTGTTTTTTGTTTTGTTTTATTGATTGGTTATTTAATTAAAAAGAATAAGCGAGTATATTTATAATACAAACCTTTAAGATACTCGCGAACAGATTCGACACTATCACGTTGCGGATCAACAGAAATGAATATTGGAGTAATAAAATTTCCTATTTCCGCATTTTTTCCTATATAAAAGATTTCAATACAACAATGATTACCTTATTCGATGACAGAAAAAAAATCTTTAAATTATCAACTTACTTAAATTATTAATCACATGTGTCATCTTATCCAACTCCTCGGGGCATATATCCGGACAATTAGTGAACCCAAAATAAATCAGTGAAAAATGACCCTTTAGAATGCTCTCATCAGTAACATTGCCATCTTGATCTAATAATTCGAATGGGCCGCCGATTTTTGGTTTTCCGAATGATTTTTGTGATTCTTCTCTTTCTGTGATTGTTGATTGTTTGATTAATAATAATAATCGTTAGGTTAACATAGAAATAGAAAATAGAGCTTAGTTGATTGAAATAAGCAAATAATTCGATAAACATACTTCTTTTAATCATCTTTTCTTTTTCACTCTTGAAATAAAATAATAGACCGATACCCGTAAGTATAAACAACCCTAAACTTCGCCATGTTGTCGGCTATATAATTGATTCAATGCGTAAATATCAATCATAATTACGCAAATCTATAAATAACTAAAAGATGATTGATCAAAAATTCACCCCGATCGCGTTTCTTGCGCGTATGGTTGCTTCGTCAGCTTTCGAGGTTCCTTTTTGTGGTGATGAGTTATTTTGATCTGTTGTGTAATGTCGTCGTGTAATGAATGACGAGGATTTCAGAGATGGTGAGAAGTTCAAGTTTGTTAATTTATTATGAGATGTAGGTGTTATTGATTGTGGTATTTCACTATGCCTTGTTGCAGCAGTTGTTTCTATCTTCCAATATAGAAGAATATAAATTTATTTTTGATGTTTTTAATTAATTCCCATAATATTGAAGTTATCATTAAATTCTATTTTGCTTGCCTGTTGTTGAGATTGTTGCTGTATCGATGAAGATAACCAAGGATCCAGTTTCTTGGACGTTCCACCGCCACTTTCTCTTGATCTTGTTGCTATTATAACTATTTCTCTTTCTCTTTCTCCACTTGTGTTGCTAGCATTATCATTATTAATACAAATACTATTACTTTTGGTATTGATATAATTAATGTTATTAAACTTATTTAAAATACTATTTTTATTGCTATGCTTTAGAAAATTGATATTGCTCTATTTTGTTTAGTTGACGACAGAAAAAAAGGCGAAGATTATCGAATAAGTATGTAAAGAAGACAATTTTCATTAAAAGAATTGGATAGTTTTCTTTACAAACCAATCTAGACGCGTTTAGAGGCACTCTTTGTATAGACATTTCGCGTGTTCGAATCAAAAATTATAATGTTATCTAAAATGAAAAAATGTATTTGTTCTCTCAAAAATGGTATTGTTTTCAATGATGATAGTTATTGCAAAATTTTCCTAAGCTTGGAAAATTGGCAATTAATAAATCTGGAACAAGTTCCGATCCCTGAACTTTTAATTGACCACGCCGGAATTATGAAAGCCTACAGAACGGGACAGCATAAAATATCCAATTTTAATTGTTTTACAAAAAGTGTTATAACTTTTGAAATAAAAATCCTTTTTCAAATTGATAATTTTTATATTTCTGAAAGAAGAATTTTGTTTATTTTTATTTTTGATAGTGTTATAATGGTTTAAATATTATCTACTTTATATACGAGTTGAAAATTTGGTACAAAGCCTTATAATTTTTGAACAAGAATTAAAATAAAAAAAATTTCTTACAAATTGATAGCTCTTTATTAAAACTACAACTTGATAAGAAAATTTTTTTAGTTTTGAAGAAGTTATAAAAGTTTAGTTTCATAAAATTAATACTGAATATAATATAATTATTTAATTGGCTAGCATTAAGTCATATAATAAAACATTAATATATAATAATTATCAAAATTTGGTACTTTTATAAAAAAAATAAATATTTTATACTGTTTTATATTATAAAAACACATGTATTTTACATATTTTTTTATATTTTTAATATTATTTAAAGAGTTTTTATTAGATATTTATCATTATTTAGTACTATAAGAAGCTTATAATTTTTATTTTTGTGTTAATAAAACTTGTATAGAAATTATAGTTCTATTTCTATCATTTAGCAATTATATAATATCCAAGATCTTATTCAAAAATTGTAGTTTATAAATTGAATAGTATTTATATTTTATAGAATATATTATATTTAGAAGATATATTATATAAAGAATTTTATGATATTTATATAATTATTGTTCTTTGTCAAATACTATTATTATGTGAGAAAAATATCATTATCATAAATAAATATTGTGCTCCTTATAATAATAATATTATACTCATCTAATTAATCTTTTGTCCTAGTATATCAACAAATAGCTAAATAATATATAACATATCATAATAGTAATAATATATTAATATATTAATATTTAGATAGTTTAATCTTTTAATCTTTTGAGATATTAATATTTTTATATTTTAATATTTTGAGTTTTTAATATATTTTGTAATTAATATTATAAATATTTTGATATTTTTGTAACAATTATTTTTGTATAAAAGTAGTATTTCAACTTGTAAATAAAGAACAGAATTTTTAGAATTAATTAAGATTTAATCAAGAATCCTTGAATAATTTAATACTTTTATTATTCTTATATTATATACTTATATAATCTATATATAAAATATTAATAAAGACAACAATAATAAAAAGTATAATAATAAAAAAATTATTAATGAAATTATTTTAACTCTATAATTCTTATTATATATAATTTCTTTTAGATATAAACTTAACTTGATTTATAATTACTTTTATAATTATAAGAGTAAATTTATTTTAAAAATATTTTATTATATAAATATTACTAAAAGAACTAAAATAATAATATATTATAATATAATTTCAAATTCAAAAAGTTTAAATATATAACAATTATTCAATAAACTTATAAATTATAAATAATATAAAAATGCAAAATAAGTAACAAAAAATAAAAGAATTATAAATAATTCAAAGTTTTATTATAACAATTATTTTTTAATTTTTAAACAAAAATATTTAATACAAAATTTTATATATAATAATATATATTTTTATTAAATAAATAAAAGCTAATACTTTATTTTAACAAAATTTATTTTTAAAAAAATATTATATATTCAAGTCACAAATTCTGTTATATAATAATCTCAGAATTTTTTGATTAATTGTTATAATAATTTTATTTAGTAATATATAACTTATAATTTATTTAAATTAATGAGAACAAACTTTAAATTATTATTAGTTTATAAAAAAATCAAGCAAACTAAAAGTTAATGAGTTATTTTATGAATACAGTACTTATTATAAATAATAAAAATTATTATTATAATCATAAGTTATGCAAATTTTATTTATTTAACTTATAATTTTACAGATACAATCAAATTTCTCTACAGTCACCACTTTCAGAAAAGCAAAATTTGGTGATTATAGAGAAAATGTGACTATGAAGATATTTTTTTACTATATTTATATATAAATAGAAAAGCAAAATAGAATGACTATAGAGAGTTATGACTATAAATGAATATGATTATAGAGAAATTTGACTATATATAAATTTAATAATCCTATATAAAAAATATATATTAATAATCTATTTTTTCTTATAATTTTTAATTATTTTTATTTATATAATTTGATATTTTTTTTCTAGATTAAAATACAAATTTATAAAATATTCTTCTATTCTTTTCTAATTAACTCATATTAATAACCAATACTAATTTTTTTTCTTTTCAGATTATTTATTAACTCATTTTTCTTAATAATAATTCAAATATTTTCTATTGAATTTAGATTAAAATTATATGATAACCAATTAAAAAATTTTAAAATTTGATAATAAATAAATTCTTTTATTTTTTTGATTTAGTATTTTAGATTATTATCTTGTTGAAAGATCCAATATTTATTCATAATTCTGTATATTTTCAAAAAAAATATTAGCTAAAATTTTATAATAAAGTATCTGATTTATATTTTGAATAAATATATGGAAGCCAATTATTTTATGTACAAAAAAGATTTTTAAACATAAATTTTCTTTGAATATTTTGGAATTACTTTTTGCAATATGCTTATTTTGATTTTGTAAAACATATTTATAATATTTTAGAATACAGTCAAATTTTTTTATAATTATTACCTTTAAAAAACAAAATTTAATGATTATAGAGAAAATGTGATTATAAAGAAGATTTTTTTATTATATTTATATATAAATGAAAAAGCAAATTAAGCTAACTATAAAGAGATGTAACTAGAAATGGTGCAACAAGTATATAATGCTTATTTGTCATCTGTTGTAACATGTTATAACTCCAAAATTTTATAAACCACAACTAGTTATAACTAGATAATGCTTTATTTGTTATCATGTTATAACAATTATTATGTTATCTTTAGGTATAATTATAAATGAGTGTGATTATAGATAGATTTAACTGTATTTAAAATGTGATTTCATTTAAAAATATTATATTTTTTAGTTTCATTTGCAATATTTTTTTGCTTACTTCACTTAAGCTTGATATTTCTCTTTTGAAAGTAAAAATATGATTTTTGAATGTTTTGAATGATATTCAAGCTTATTAAACTCATAATTTATTATTTATACAAATATCTTGATACTAAAATTAAGCTTTGTGATAATTTTATTATAAATAAGATATCTGTTATTTGTAACCATTCTTTCTAACACTTGTTGATTTTGAAAAGCTAAAATTGTAAGATATTCTGAATGCAATATAAATAAAAATTTATTTTTTTTAATTGGATGACATATTTATATATTGTAAAGAAAGAAGCACTACTTTTTTTTTGCTATAATTGGCATATCACAAATACTATATTTCCAAAGATATCTTACAATCTCTTGTTAATTGATAATTGGGATTTCTTTTATTTTAAATGAAAAAAAAGAAAAGTTGATTGATTGATTTTTTTAGATTTATTTTAAGTTACAAATCATTATTAAAGCACAATCACATGTACTAGATGCAATCGAGTTTTTTTTATATATGATTTGTGTCAATTTTAATTCTTATTTATGATGAGCACTATATATAAAGAATTTTTTATTTTGTAAAGTAATATAAATAAATTGTATGCAACATATACACCTGATTTTTGCTTTGACTCCCTTTTTTCTAAAAAAAAATCATCTGATAAATGTTTTTATCTTAACAATATTCAAATTTGACTATAAAATAATACTTGATAAAAATTTTTCTTTTTTCACATTGTAAAAAATGACATATTTAATAATCCAGAAACAGTGTGAAGCGATTATAAAAAAATGCAAATCACTAAAAAATTAATAATCTGAGAGTAATGATGGCAACTATAGAATCAAGACTGAAGCGAATATTAATTAATAGTAGTAAATAAATTATTTATATTTAATGTTCTATCTAATTAGAAATGTTTAAGTTTTTAATGCTTTTAAAAATAATATAAATATGTAAATATAATACATTTTGGAAAAAATCTCAACAACAATTATAACTAAATATTATTAATTTAATATCCCAACCCCTTTCTACTAGGTGACTGTGATGTCGTTTTCTGTTCAATATCTCGTTGTCGTCTCACCAAGTAGTTGAGTTTTTCCATAACCTAAAAACAAATATCCAAAGTATTTTTATTAACTTATAAAAAAACATTACTTATTAATATTTTATTTATTTATAAAATACCTACTTCTTCTAACTTTCGTTTCCTTTCCTGCACTTCTAAATGCTTCCTTATATGCGGATTTTCCTTAGCAAACGCCAAAATCTGTTTTCTATCCAGATCATATACCAATCGATTATCAACTTCTCGTGGGAACTGAAAGAAAAATTCGTTCAACAGTTCCACTTGAATAAACATCACTGCGGTGTACGTAAGTTTTTCAGCGACCATATTGAGAAAGGCTTCCGGACAGTACTGTTTATTTTCAGGAGATTTACACTGACGAGACTTGAGTGCGGCTAAACGATACTTTAGTATGATTGAACGGTCGCGTAGGAATATGGATTCGTGAGCTTTTTCGAGAATTCGTTGGTTGAAGTGGAGACGATGTGGTTCTGCGATTTCATCTTCTTCATTGGTGGAGGAAATCATAGGTGATGATGGAGCTGTTGTTTTTACTGAGTCTTCGTTATTGTCTGCTACTTGATCAGTAATACGAGCCTTTGCAATGCGTTCTTTCTGCTCTTTCTCTGCGTCTAAAATATATTTTATTGCAGCCTTCAATTTTCTTTTACCGACAGAATTTTTGATATTTGCCAAAGCTTTTTCACAATACTCTATTTCTTTTTCGACCAGACTAATCGATCTCTTAACACCTTCAGCCCATTCTTGTTCAGCGCACTCGACCTCATATTTATAAGGCTTTACACAATTCTCTACCTGGTCAGCTGTTGTATGGAACTTATTTCGCAAAATCTCGTTACTGAAATTCAACACTTGACGGCTAGTATCTGGGTGATTACTTAACGGATCCATTTCTGCTAATCGTTCCATATTTGCCATTAACACGTCGACAACAAGTTGTGTACTCGTTCGTCCGATCCCGCTCTTTGTCAAAGCAGCCGAGCACATGTCAAGCTTGTATTGCCAGTACAGATCGTCTGCTGATATTTTGGGTAGCTCGCTGATTTTTGGATCGGTCCAGTACAGTTCAGCACAGAGATCCATGACGCGTTGTTCTAACATTGTGCGAACTTCGTGACGCACTTGCGGTTTACCAAATGAATGCGCAAAGTCCTTGAAATTATGTTTAATACTATCAATTGTCTCGGCAACATATGATTCGGCTGTAATACGCCTACAAGCAAAAGTACACGTCAAAAGTGAGGAGTGTGTGAAATTGTATAAAATATGCGAATTGTATTAATTGTTATAGCACTTACCTATCATTATACTGCACTTTGAATTGATATCGAGCCTCTTCTAATTCAGACTGTACAGCACCCACAATAGAAAACAACGATTTTGCCATACTTTCCTCCAGAACTTCCATTAACTTCCTACGAAGAGTCCCAGTTCCCACTTCAATACCACGTTGACTATAAACATAATTGCTTCTGAAAAATTGTTCTTCATTACGCATTAAAGCAGACGTGATGTTTTTTTGACTGCTTGTATTATTGTTGTTATTGAGTTTGCACACAACACCAATATAACCCAAATGCAGAGGATAATCTGTATTTCGCAAAATATTAGCACCAACTTCTGGTTCAACAAGATCCATTTTCGTAATTACCCCAATAGTACGCAAACCCAACGGATCGACTTTTCGTCCGGCTTTCAATGCCTCAGAGTTTGCCAAATCCACGTCTGCACTACATACCGCCAATATTATATTGGGTTCTTTAATATACTGCTCGCAGAGCTCGACAATTTTGTCTTTTAGCGTCTCTGGTTGATGTTTGTTGTTGACTTGAATGTATCCCGGTAGATCAATCAATGTCAAATCAGGAACATTTGGAGAATAAATTCGTAACTCAATTGGTTTATTTGATACACATTCGGACTCGGGTACAGCCAAGTTTAGGTCTCGAAGCGTTTGTTGGATATGTTTAAAGTCGTAGATTTTGCCGAGGCCAAGTTGAGGAAATTCACCAAATTCCTCTTTTGTTTTTGGCGTGTGTATCAAAGTCAACTCTATTGGTCGCCGTGTAACCATATTTGAGCCTCTAATAATAAAAATAATTATTGATATTGATTGTTTTAATAATAAATTCTTGACGGATAAGATTATTATAATAATAGTTTACCTACTTTGGTAGAAACTCATGACCAACGATAGCTTCCAGGACCGAACTCTTGCCCGAACTCTGACTTCCAATCACCACAATACTTGGCAGCCTTAATGCCTCATTATGATCTATACTCATCAAAATATTACGAACTTCAATCAACTTTCTCGTAAGAAGCATGAACTGGTCGTCTTGAGCACCGCCTGGCCGTCTTGTCGGTGTACTTATTTCCGAATTTTCATCATCTTCTATGTCAAAAAGAGCAACTGTACCTGCTGCCGCAGCAGCAGCACTACTACCACTACCATCAGCCGCGTCTGAATGACCACTTTCATTAGAATTCTCATCCTCCTTTTTTATAAACCGTGGTCGATCCGATTCCATTTGGTGCTGACTATTAAGTGTCGTAGAAGTACTATTACTACCACCACTACTACTACCTGGACTAGCATCATTGAGAAAATTTGACAAAAACTCTGGTAACTGAAATTCGAGTTTTGGTAGATCAAAGTCGAATCCGGAACCTACTGTGTTGAACACTGATTTCACGCTATCCGTTACCGAGTTCAACCAGTTTTGGCTCTTGTTTGCCAGGTCTTTTTTATGTAATGCGACGAGTGAGAGTGTAGATGCATGATGGATGATACATACGTTAATTAATTTTTAAATAATCTATATCCATGGACGGACAGCGTTGCAGCATGATATGATGCATGAGAAAATAAAACTCGTACCCCCAATCTTGTAGTTCGCATATGTCAAACCAGCAGCTCCAGCTGTAACGCCAGCGACAGGTATTCGCATAGCATGATACAGAAATCGCGGTATGGTCGTGAAACTTATTGAGCGAACTTGTTGTAGCCGTGGGTTTGCCATTCCTGAACCATTTTTGTGGCTGTGATGTAATATTTTAGGGCGATGGTATTTTTGACCAACTAATAGTTGTGAACTCGAGGAAGTTATTAGTGTACGACGGCGGTGGCCACCAATGTTGTTATTGATTACTTGTGGAAGAGATAGTCTGGAGCTCACCACCACTAGCCGAGGAGGGCCTCGACGACTGAATGTAGTAGTTGCAGTTGAGTAGTAATGATGGTGAGAGTATGGTGGTGTGTTGTGGTAGTTTATAGCGCGAGACTTTGTCGCTATGTGACGGAAGCTATATGCGACCATATAATATTATATGAAAGATAACGATCTAAATAAAATTAACAATTGTTTTCACTTAGTTTTCTTTTTTTGCATACGGTCAAACCCTTTAAGATGACCAGCGAAATTTTGGATATTTTGGTCGGTTTAGAGAACTATCGTCTTAGTGTTAGCGTTAGTGATTAAACAATCGATCGTCTTAGAGATGTCACGCAGAATGAATACACCGCGCAAAACTTGTTCTTGTCGATCCCTCGACCACAGGCAGAACCACAACTGCCAGACACGGAAAGTTCCTTTACATTTCGACTAGAGTTTAAATTTACAATACATCATTATCATTTTATATCTTTATTTTATCTGTTTATACTTATTTATTTCTTTATTAATTTTATGAAATTCCTTTTTTTAAAAAAAATAAAAACATCATATACATGATAAAAAAAATATCTGATCTATATTACTCTTGAATGATAATCAAGTTCCAAAAGAAATTAAACAACTTGCTGGAGACTTATTTATTAAAATCTCATCAATATCCTGGATTAAAAGCAAAATTAAATGTGAATATAATAATATAACATATTATTATGAATTGATATTTTTTATATGATTATGATTTTATAACTTGCCAGATAAATTATATGAATATGTTTTCAGTATTTTCAAACTGAATAAAGAAATTTATAATTATTTATAACTTAATTAATGATTTATAAAAAGTAAAATATTAATAATTCAATTTATTAAATCAATTTAATATGACTTTGCAATTAAAATAAAAGATTATTAATAAATTAAACAAATATAACTTTGCAATTAAGAAATGAAATCATAAATAATTATAATTTCGCAATTAAGACAAGAAATTATAATAACCAAAATAAATATAATTTCACAATTAAAATGAAAGATTATAAATATTAAATAAAAAACTAAAATTAAATAAAATTTAAATAAAACTTAAAGTAAAAATAATGATTAATTATTTTTAGAATTAGAATTTCTATTTAAATTTAAATTTTTATTTTTATTCAAATTTCAGTTCAAATTTTTATTTCAAATTTCAATTTGAATATCAGTTTTAATTTTTAGTTCAAATTTCTATTTGAATTTCAATTTGAAATTCAATTCAAATTTTGATTCAAAATTCAATTAAATTTAAAAGTTGAAATTTTATCAAATATTTATTAAAGAAATATATATTTTAACTTAAAAAATGGTTTGATAATAAAATTGTTTGATAATAAAACTTCTTAATAAAATTAATAAACAAATATAATAATATAATAATTTAATAAAATATAAGAATTTAATTGTTTAATAAAAATATAATAAAATATTGTTCAAGAAAAATATATTATTTTTAATTAATAAAATTTGATTTATAACAATATTATTTTTTATATTTTTATTAGATTATTATATTTTTAATTAATTAAATTATTTTTAGAAATTTGAATTTCTATTCAAATTTTAATTCAAATTTCAGTTTGAATTTCAGTTTTAAATTTGTATTTTTATTAGAAATTAAATTTTTATAATTTATTTATAAATATAATATGTATTTTAATATTAAAAAATAATTAACTTAGTTAATTAGTTATTTTTTTATTTTTAATTACTTATTAACTAATAAATAGCTTTAATTTAATTAATAATATTATAAAATTATATTAGTTTCTTTATAATTTCTTGATTTAATTATGAAATTATAATTATTATTTGATTTTTTATTTTAATTACAAAGTTATAATTATTAAATTAATAAAAAGAAATTATTAATATTTTTTCTTGTTTATAAACTATTTTTAAAATTATTAAATATAATTATTTTTATTTAAAAAAAAATTTTAGAGCCTATTCTAGCTATTTATAATATAAATATATATATTTTTTATTTTTAAAAATAATATCAAATTTTTTACTTATAGTTTTTATTAAGTATATTATTTTTTTATCTAACTTAATATTACATATTTTACTTAAAAAATATAAACAAAATTAACAAAATTTAAATTTTTATTTTTCATTTAAAAAATATAATAAATATAAAATTTTATTATAATATAATAAAACTAATTAAGTTAAACAAAGTTATATTTTTAGATTTTTTATAATTAATATATTGATATCATATAATTAATTGATTAACTAATAATAATATAATTTAATAAAAACTTATTATTATATATAATGTATATAATTTAATTTTAATTACTAATTTAATAAAATTCAAATTTTAATAAAATTATATTTTTAAATTTTTTGTAAATAATTTTTAATAAAATAATAATAATTCAAAATTAGAATAATTTTACTTTAATCAAATATTTTGATTTTTTTATATATAAAATATATAATTAATATATTTATTATAGTTTGGTGCAAAAATGTAAATACACCAATATGCTTATAATAAAAAAATTTTTTAGGCAATTTAATACAAATATTTAAATAATTTTATTTATTATATAGGTTTTAGAAAATATATTTATATAAATTTTAGTGAAATATTTAATTTATATAAGAATTTTTATTAATCATCAATTTCTTCTACTTCGAAATTGTCATTATCATCACTGTTGATTAATAATACATCATCACTTGATTTATCATATTCTATAATCTTATCAAGCGATCTTTTTCAAAAACCAACAATAACCTTAGTCGTAACCTTTTCTTTAAAGACATATAATAATTTATCTCTAATAGCTAAAAGACTAAAATGGGAACCAGATCTGATAACTTCTCCTTTTGTAATTGATCACACTCCTTTGATTGGTTAGAGCTCACAGTGGTAAGATAGTATATAGAATAAGTTGTGGTCATAGTTTCTAGCTATTTGTACATTTGCAAATAATACATTGTGTTTATGATTCTTTACTAACTCGTATAATTCTACTTTGGTAGAGTTTTTTGAAATGTTAATATCAGCTGAAGATAACCATGCCATCAAGATATTCTTTTTTGAGTTTGACGTTGGTACTTGTTCAATTTGATGTTTGTGATAACGAGTATTATTTATATGAATATTCACTGGCCTGTAGCATTCTCTAATATTAGCACATAGTTTATTAAAAAGATCTTTAAAGATTTCAATTGTAAAATTATCATGGTAATCAATGTGGTTTGCTGCAATATTAGAATTTTGGATAACTTTAGGAATATTATTCCAGATGTCAGCATTTATCCATTTTCTTCCTCTTAATGAAGGTGATTTGATTGTTGGATCCCACATTAAAAGAGAATTAGAAACAACTTCATCATGAAGCTTATTAGTATTATCATTACGCATTACGATTATTGTGCCAAAAATCACAATTAAAGGACCACGTCCTGGTGAGTATACAACTTCATGATTCAGCATCCAAGTATAATTTATAGTATAGTACAAGTGATAATAGGATTCGTCTAAAAAAACCTCTGATTGGGTTGGAACTTTATTTCTTTCTTGTAGATTTTTGAATCGATGTCGCAAATAATGGTTCGAAAGATAATGTTTGTTGGTGACTCATATAGTATATTTTGATATTCATCACATTTATAATAATATCCTAACATATGAAGTATACAAAGCAACTGTCACTTTGAAAGTTTGCGATCATTTTCTGCAAGTTTCTTTTGTAATATATATATTAAAAGTGATGTACTGGAAGTATTAGCGGACATAATAGAACTACGAATAAGTTCTGGAATGTTGTGATCAAGGTATTTTTTTGGTCAATCTAATTTTTTTTGAATCTCATTTTTTTTTTGTTTAGCAACCACCTGCCTTACTGTAACCTCTCCAATACTAAGAAATGTAGCAACCTGCTTGCATAGTGTGAGAATCTGACGTTAATTTTGACTTTGTCAAATATTGAAAAAGTATTGATGAATGTTGTTACTGTTTTGATGGAGCTTTCAAAATACTCAAAGATATTTATAAAATTTAAGGAATATTCAAAGGGAAACTTTCAATATCTTAATAACAATTCAAAGTCTTAATAATACTTTATGGCTTTAGACTGAATATAAACTAAAGTACGACAAGTACTTATAGAATCACTTAAAGGTTGGTAACAATTGTGTTCTTTAACGCAATAACTGGACTGCT